CGTCGGCGGCTGGTCGCGCGAAGGTGGACCTATCAGCCCGTTCTCTCGGATGGTCAGCACAGCTTCAAATCGACGAACCTTCATCGATTCTGTCCTGAAGTATTTGCGAAAGTACAAATTTGACGGCTTCGACCTGGACTGGGAATAGCCCGCTAATCGTGGAAATTCACCAGAACAAGACAAGCGGCGATTCACGGTTCTCTGCCAGGAACTATTGGCCGCGTTTGAGAAGGAAGCATCGGAGAGTGGAATGATGAGATTACTGTTGACAGCCGCAGTATCTGCAGGTTTGAACACATTTGTATGTCTTCATGTCTTTCAAATCTTCTGTAGTAATCATTCAATAAAACAACCAGGAAATAAAAAATGATACCAAGTCGCAAAAACGCACGGATCGTTTCATAAGATACGCCAAACCAAGTTACAAAACAGCTAAAGTTGTACATTGAAAGTTGAAACTAACTAATTCTCTTTAATTTAATACATTAAAGATTAATACTTTATCATCAACGAGTCTGCATACTTCTAGTTTCATTCGCGTTTGGAGCTGGCTTAAAGAAATGACATTTTGTAAAGTAGTCTTAAAAAAATAGCTAGTAGTGTACTGAACCTTGCGCTTTTAATTTGTTGACAATATTGTCGAACTTGGTTTCATTGTAAATACAATAACTAATTTTTTCAAGTGAACATTATTTGGATCCTTCTTCATTTCAATTTTAGTTATAATTGAAGTCCTTTTCAACTGAAGAACGACAACTTCGTTTGGTTATCATTAACAACCGTTATAATCATTTTTCATTACATGGTTGCGTTTCCCGGCGAAAAATTTTTAAACATGGCGCTCAGCAAAAGTCGAACAACACGAGGCTCGTTAATTTTTCCTTCTATAAGCGGCAAAAAAAAAAAACTTGCAAATACTCAGAAATCAATTACGTAAAGTTTGGTTTCAGAATATTTGCAAAGCTGTTTCAAAAGTAAACAATGAAAAGGAACAAAGCGCGGTATTATCAAAACAGCAGTACCACTAATTCAGTATTTAATGTTATTGTTCAATTTTCGCGAATCATTTCAGGAACAAATTACTTGCCAAAGAAGACTGATAAAGTCATTTGGCGCACATATTTATCAATCCAGGTTTTTTCATAGGTTTGAAAATTGTGTTTTGTTCCTGAGGTTTATCAGTCGCCTTAAAAGTTAGCTTCTATTACATTATCAAGGTGTGGTTTTCTATTATTAGAGGAGCTCAGTCACGGTATTTTGAGTCAGTTATTTGGCGTCGTACGAAATTACCATTAAATGGAAGAAAAGCTGAAAATAATAGTTAACTAAGATTAAAAAAGTATTTAAGAAAAACTAATACACCATAAAGAAACAAGGATGGTCAAGGATGGAAGCGATTAACACGGATTGTAAACGACAACCTTGAGAAATTTAGGGTAAGCTTTTCATGACGTCGTCACTCCTTTAAGGACCTTTAAGCAGAGAGAATATTTTTGCTCAGTCGATTATCAGTGATGTAGTTGAACGCAGAGTTTCTAATGCGTGTGCATGTTTTATTCACAGGTTCGTCAACCATAGACAATGCTTATGAGATAGACAAACTTGGACTGGATCAATCTGATGACGTATGACCTTCACGGCAAGTGGGAAAAACAGACTGGTCATCACTCGGCGCTGGAGGGTGTCCAGGGGGATAAACTGACCGTGACGTACGCTACGGAGTACTGGATCAAGAATGGAATGCCGCCATCCAAGTCCTTTGATCATTGCATGCTAAAAGGCGCAATAAAAGTAATTTTATTATTTATTTTATCATTGACTTTTGCTCTTTTGAACAACTTTTGATTTTGGGGACAACTTGATTAAATGTTAGCCAATTTATGGGAGTTGCAATGTCCTATGTTACTGTTAAAGCCTTGTTATGTATCCTTATAAGAAAATTTCAGATCTTTAATGTTATAGATAATTTTACAATGTGCTGATAGCTCAGTGGAAGAAATCTCCAACTCTTCCTCGAATGAAAACGACCCTATCAGAGAAGCCAAACAACTTGAAGCAAATTTCAGTAAGCCTGAAAACGCTGCAATAACCAGAAAATTCAACACTGAAAACTAAAATTCCAGAGGAATAGAGCAGTAGCAAACGTTTTACGCTGTACTTAACTGGCAACTTTTGAACAACTTTTTATTAAAGTCCAGCAGCTTCAGGCAACTTTAAAAGAATTTTGGAGCAACTTGTAGCTGAGGCTATGACCAGTAAACAGTGGGGTGGGCGTTCAGTTATTTGGGGCCCACAGCGAAATTTGGCGCACGGGGAAGACGACAGGACGTTCGCTCCTTGCACAAAGACTTCCTCTCATTTTTCAGCTCTTTTTTCGCGCTTCGTCTCAGCTAACTAACTGAACAGTGTCAGTAAATACGTGTCTTGCAAAATAGAAACAAAAAACAAAACAAAACAAAAAGCAAAGCGTCGAATTTGAAGTACTCATACGTTTAATTTTTACTTCACCGCTAATAAACATTGCACCTTCTCCAAATTATAAGACCTTGCTGGTTGACAATACTGTTCATATTAAATTAGGTTTCAGTCACACTTGCAGTAGTCTGAAGGGCAATATCCGCGACCACAGTTTGTAACACACCATTCTTTCATACCAAGAGCATTCACCCAGACCCCGACTGGGTGACAATCGCCACTTCCGGTAGACCGCTGACTGGTAGG